GCCCATGGCAAGTTATGTTTTCAGTTACCTTTCTTTATTCACATTTACACAACAATTACTTCTAATAAAATCCCCTATCCTTTCCTTGGCATGATTGTCCATTAGATCACATTAATACTGTGTCTAACAAAGAAAACGAGCCCTTGAGTGTTCACTTCTTTCCTTCATACAGTAGGTATAAGTAGCTTATAACTAGCTGCAAGTAACGCTGCTACAATGGGATCGTGTGCTGAAAGCTGAGGCATGTTTCCACAAAACTCATTTGCCACACTTAGTACTCATGTGCTTTGGCATTTTGACTTATTAGGGGCGAAGCTCCTCAAGCCGTGGGTCTGTCCCTCCTAGCTGATACGTGACTGCCAAGTTCGATGACTCACTCGGCAGGTGTGGACAGACGACCAGACAATTGACGGTTTACAAATAGAATCCTCCGAAGCTTCATCCACTCATCATTCACTTCCTGGATATGCTGAGATTTTTTTTGCACTACCCATTGCTAACCTTCTGGTTATTTCAGTTGTAAAGTAACAGCCCCGGAAAGATGTTGGTTGTAAGCTTGAGCCCAGGAACAGAACAAATTTTTTGTTGTCTTTCCTGAGAAATTAGTGTAGATTTTCTAGTAGCTAAGTGCTAAAACAGATGGACAGCTATTTTTCATTTTCAAATTGTTATTTACACAAGTGATTTATGTGAAGTGAACTGTGATGCCTGTAAACGTATCCAGATGAGCTGGGTTTGGAGAGTGTAGCCAAATAGAATGGTAGGAGCTCAAGAATAAGGAAAAAGCTAAGGCACGTGAACAATGTGGCACAGCACTGCGTGCCTTGGCTTTTTTCCTCCTGCTTTGAAATAATGAAGCAGTATCAATTAGCCCAGTTTATGGCACTCTAAAAAGTGTTTAGCTCTTTTTGATGCTCTACAGGCCTATCTGCAGGGCACATTGACAAGTAACAATAGAATAGAGGGCATGCCGAGACAGCAAAAATGTAATCACGATTCCTGCACGTGCACATCCAAGCATGCAGAGATCGCGTCCTGCATAAGTGGTGGTCTTTACAATAAATAAGATTTTGGGGCAATGAAGGTGTGAGGACATATGCAAATTTCTACATTTATTTGTTGTAATACAGAAACATTTGCCCTATGTCTAGTACGTATGAAAGAAAATTCATATTAAGTCTTGCTCTATGCCTTACTTCCTACGGAAAGACCCTGTGGCACAATCCTAATGATAGAAAAGTTATGTACAGCCAGCAGAGTCAACATGCGGCACACAACTCCTCTTGTGTAATGCATTGCCTCTCAAAAGCTAGGGTGTCAATATGGCAAGCACCAAACAGGGCAAAAAAGAAGGAAGTGTGACAGAATCATCTTTAATTGGTGTAATGTTATGTATGCTCGACTTGGGGTTTTGCTGCTGCTACAACATTTTGTAGAAAGACAAATTTTGTGCATGCACATAGTGTTGAACGCAACATATATATCTTACAAAAAGGGTCCAGCCTAAACAGAGAGTTATGCAGCAAGCCATGGAAAACAAAATTATATGTTTAACTTGAGAGACGAATGAGTCACTAAACAATTGTGTGTGAAAGACATCTTTGTTTAATTAGAAGAGATAATCACTGCTGGTTAAGGGCAACAGTGGATATCAAGAGAGGGCAAGCATGGCAGGGACAAACTGAAAGTCTAGTGGTCTGATGAGACTAAGGTTGTTGCGGATATAACGTGGCCACAGCAAACACAGGACAGGGTTAACTGGAAACACATGGGACGGACCTTTATCGTGCAATGGGTCTAGTCAGGTGGTGATCATATATATGCTCACATTCAAACAGCTCTTGCATACACCGCTTTGGTGTACATCTTATGCTCACTCCTGATTTCCTCTAGTAGTACATGCTTGATCACAGTATACAGAGTTCAGACTTACATGAATGCAGTGGTTCTGCAAGTAGGCCAAGCTAGAAAATTTCAAGGAAGTTATCGATGCTGTTTATTGCATTGGAGCACTACCAACTGTTAAGTTTATACATAGTTGCATGCATGAACACGGTATGGAGTGTTTTTTTAACAAATGTCAAGGCTAAGATGATTTAATATCTAGAGCACACACTTGAAGAAAAGCCTGCCCGAGTCAAAATTAAGAAGTAATCACCAGTTTTATTTATTCATTATTAGGAAAAGGTCCTGTAAATCAGGTTCGGTGTCGAGCTACCCCTGAATCCATCCAGATGTCGAAATTCAGTTATGTTGCAGTTTTGCAAGAGTCAAAGAATGCCAAGTCATGAGACTTTTTCGAAATGATGTCATAATTTTTTTTTACTTCCCAGTTGTGCTTGTTAAATTTTACGTGTAACTTTCTTGTTAATACGCCAAATTGTTTGCTGCAAAATGAACACTCTTGTATATTTTTATTCTGTGTATACCCTTCCTGCAAAATGCCCCGTTGGGATTGGCAGCATGCCTGAAATAAATAAATAAATAAATAATAGTTTACATATTTGATTATTCGAAAGAAGCCCTCGCTCGTTTCACTTTTTATGCATTATTGGTCGTCTCTTCCTCACCCTGTGAGGAGGAAGATTCCCTGGCCAGGAAAGCCAGCTACGAATTGTCTTCACAGGGTAGCAGTTTGGAGCATTCGCAACCAGCCGGACAACGCATAAGTAGCTATGAAAAGGGCTATTTGATGGCAGGCAGCATTTACCAAATTTAAGGTAGCAAGTTTGCTGAAAAGCTGATAGAGCATCTTAACATGTAAAGAAGTGTACTGAAAAAGACACGAGAGGATTAATAGGACTCAACAGGACAACCGCTGCACTTGCCACTAGTTTATTGTTTTAGAAAATATATACCCATAAGTGCACTGCATGTAAAATAACCTTCGCTCATAACAGTGCTTCAAAAATTGTAAAAGCTGTTGTGTACTAGTGTATATATGTGCTAGCCCCTCCTCTCTTTGCCTTTAAAATAACTTCAACTGCAGTGGTGGCCACGTTCTTCCTTTCACATCTTGTTTTTGTGCGCTGCTTTGCAATGGCCTAAAGCTGTCTTGGTCCACGACAGGAAGGTAGGTGCAGGAATCTGATGCACTTGCGCAACTTGTGGACAGGCAGGTAGGTGCAGGAATTTGATGCACTCGCGCAACTTGTGGCCTTTTGTGTTGCAGTGGCTCAGTGCCCTGTACCAGACATTGCGCTGGCTATCCATGTGACTTCATTCCAGGTCCGAAGTCACGAGCAAGAGAACTGATGACAATTTTGGCCAGCTGATTGATGCCTTGGCCTCTGTGCACATGGTACCCATCAAATGCGAAGAGTGTGCCTCATGACCCATTTGAAGAGATGAAACACCGATACTGTAAAAACGAAAATTGTTGCAATTAGGAAAACTATGATACATTAAACAAGCATTGACACAAAATTTTCAAGGTAAGATGAGTGAGATTAGCTAGAGACCTAAACAACATCTACCAAATTTAATAATATCTAGAATTTAACATCCCAAAACTAAGATATGATTGTGAAAGACTGCATAGCTACCCGTGCCACACGGGCAGAAAAAATGGCATTTACCCCCGAATGCCTTCAGATTTATTGCCATTCGCGCGGTGCCAAACGGGCGAACAAAATGGCATTCATCCGAATGCCATTCGCCACCAACTGCCTTCGCCAGAACCACGACCTACTCTATAAACTTACGACCTGCTCACCGGCGCCATCCCTACGGAGGCGTATGGAGCTAAAAATTGGCGTGTAGGGACCGGAGGTACCGCCAGATGCCGCCACCACTTACCCCCATAGCAGACGACGCACGACCGTTGTGGTGCACTCGTGTGTGCGCGTTCCTGTCATTGTTCTAGTTTCTAACGCGTGGATCGAGCAATCCACTGATTTAACGTCTCGAAGCAACATTCTGGTTGTGAGAAGCACCGTGGTGGATGGCTTCGGGATGCTCGTTACCGGACCTCAATCTTTGCGCGAGCGCTTTTGCGTCCCCATCTAAGTGCAGGCAAACGAAAGCAATATGCGACACATAACCCAGAGAACGTAAGCCTTATTTCCTCGCTTTATTTTAAGCAGCGGCGCCCCACCTAACCGCTGTCTAGCAGCCGCAAACATAATTCGTTCGTGGGCGAGCCGGTGCGATCTTGCATGTAACAAGTTGAAACTTGAAACCGACGTGTCTACGACGTAAATGAAGACGACATACGGTGCGAACGACGCATGCGATAACCCGTGTAAGTTTTTATGACCGGAACGTCGCCCTTCAAGCATATCGTTGTCATACTGTGCACGGATGACGACAGAGGGGCGCAGTTGTGCTATCGTCTGGGTGCTTTGGGTCTAGCGAACGTCTAACGATGGAAGCGTGCGACAAAACCGGTGGATTATCGCAACGTTACAGCAATTTCTCGTACATACATATATTATCAGACACAGTTTATTGAAGTTATGGCCTCTGTTCGAGCGTCGCTAGCATTTCCGCGTGTCTCACATCGGCGGTGCGCCCACGCCTTTACTCGAGCATCCACATACAAAGCATCACGAGGCAACAGCTCTAGCGTGCTCTGTTTCCCTCATGGGAATAACGTTGTATAGAAACGAGAGTTTTATTTATAATCTAAAGCATGAGTTCTAACTGGCTAAATCACTTTGCACTGTCCCTATTCTATTCCGCGAACTTTTAGCATTAACCCACATGGTATTACCCACCAATAATGTACTATTCCTGATTCTTCGGCTGCCAATTGTTTTGTTCACATCATGCCTGTGATGCATGCTGTACCGACACACATCAAAAGCCTCTGTGGCATGGGATTGAAGAACAAAATTTTATTTCACCTGATGCCTTCACCCTTACATTAAAATGCTTAGAAGTCCCTTATGACCGCTACAAATGTGCATAAATTGCTTGCTCAGTGCTAAAAGTTTGAATTTTCCATTTGTAAGTGGCTGTATTCACACTGTAAAATGGCAGGAAACAGACAAGTAAGCTTATGGTTCAAACAAATGTTTTATTCCCAGAACAATGGTACACTGCAGCAACAGTAGTAAATAATATGCTTGTCCAAACATTGCTTTTTAAGCATCAGATACCAGTACAGGAAAATCTAATCTGCAACGAAAATGTTGATACCTGCAAAATGCAATTTATTAATGCACAAAAACATTAACAGTGTGATCAACAATACCTCTAGTAAAAAAAGTGAGTAGTACAGCCAAGGACATAAAGGAATATATAGACGCACAAACTACCTAGCACCCCTTGCTTTACCTAGAGCCCATCAGCACTCCATCTGCAGTAACTACTGGCAGAACTAAAATTCAGCCCTGCTCAAAGCAAAATACTGCCCTAGGATCCAGTAAACACTGCTTTTGGGACCAGACAAAATCTCCCAGATATCCAACAACTTTCAAATATTATCAATGCAGGGGTGAAATATCCTATGTCATTATCATGACCCGACTATTATGTGTCCACTGCAGGGTAAAGACCTCTCGCAATGATCTCTTGCCCCCGTCTTGCACACGCCGATTCCATTTTATCCCAGTGAACCTCTTGAATTTCATCAAGCAACCTAACTGTTTAACTCGGCTGCGTTAGCCATCCCTCGATATCCACTCCGTTGCTCTCGCTGCACGTTGGTTATAGATTCTGTGCACTACGTTGCCTGCGCAGCTCTACTTTTTTCTAATAAAGATAGATGTGAGCTACCCCTGTTTATTCTCTGATCCACTCTGCTCTCCACTAAATATTGCAGAATGTCTCAAGATCTCGAATGTATGCCTTAGCTGGAAAAGTGCCCATATTATTCTACTAAACTCTCAGCAATATATTCATGAGGGTTCTTTAAAACAGGATAAGGAAAGCGCTGCACTTTAATCAATGAAGGAAGCAAGCTGGCTTTAGAAAAGCTTGCCCCACAATTGATTGCATTCATGTGATCAAAACCATAAATTCTGAAACCTTGAAAAATTATGACTAGCAACATGCTGCCATCCCAAAAACAAAGTGTAGAGCCACTGCATTGTACCAGTACAAATATATAGTGCAGAAACTTGGGGGTTAAAGAAAACCGAAAAAGTTAAGATTACGTGGCAAGACAAAAAAAAAATGAAAAAAGATGAACCCAATATAAAGAATGATACCCAAGTCAGAAGACTAGGAAGTGTGGACCGCACATTCTTGATGTCTTGTTCAGGCATGTCTTGTTTCATAAGGCTAAAATGACACTGGAAAAACAAACTCGCACTCCTATTTGTATTCAAAAGAAGGTCAGCAGCCAAGATGTGCATGCGCATACAGCAATTCTATGTGGCTGTTACAAGGAAAGAGAACTTTAAACTTTCAAAACTTTTCGCGACAAAGGCTTCCTGTTGAGGAGCTTTCTCTTTGAATGTGCCTCGGTTAAATTATTGGCATAGTTTGCCAAGAAAGGCCTCATGAATTTTCGCAAAATTAAATTCAAGAGAGCTGCTCTGTGTGACACACTATTATTCATAGTGCATGCAAATAAGGAATTTTTTAGAAGTGAAGGGAGCACTATGCTTGAAAACTTCTGCAAGGGTTTTTGCCCTTTCACAAGGATCGCAGCTGCTTTAGAGGCTGCACCCTCGAGGACGCTTAGAAATCCAACAAATGGCAATGAGGGGTATGAGAGTCCTCCCCTGTCAATTCCTGCAATTAGAGCAGTTGTTGTAGAGCTTGATTTGGGTGCCTGTATTTTCATAAGGCAGCCTTCGCAGCAGCTGTTATCCTGGACAGCTCTCACTAGAAAACCAGCTATTAGTGCCAGTGTGCTGGCACGCAAGCTTTGAGTAGGAGGACCTGAGAGAATGAAAGAAAGAATTTAGAGAATGGCAATACAATTAAAATAAGTGATTAAGTAGTAGCATCTATAATTGTGGTACCATCTAAGCAAAGTGCAATAATTTGTAAATGTGTCGTACAGTAGCAACCAAGCCCCCCCCTCCCGAAATTTTGGTGAAGTAGGTGTTTTACCAAAAATAAATAATTAAAAATAGGTGTTTTTCTCAAATAGCCAAGGTTTTCAGCAAGTGCCCCCCCCCCCCCCCCCCGAAAAAAAATTCCTGGCTACGGGCCTGGTTAAGGAACTCATGACTGCGATTTAGAACTTCTCATTTTGATGTAGCTGCACGTCACCTTTCCACACAAGCACTAAAACTTTTGGATCAACTCCTTTGTATCTTCAAAACATGCATCTTATTACTGAAATGTTTGTGAGTGATAGGTATTCGTAAATAATAAATGGTGCAAACCCACTTGGGAAGTGCTCCAATGCTGTAAGGTAAGGGAGCAGAAGCTTCTTAATGTCCTTGTCAGGTGGTGCAGCAGCTGCAGGTTGAGGGGCGAGTTTGGTTGCCTCCCCAATAGAACCTATAACGCTTCCCACATTGCCACTTGGAGATGAATGAATGCAGCCCGTTACTAAGATCTTCTGTAGTGACGACAGTGCTGCGTAGGCATCGGTTTGGTCATTGGAGCCATTTAGCTGTCGTATGGTAGAAAACAGGGATTCCACATCATCACTGGAAAACTTTCCTGTAAGGACAAAATGAAATCCGCGCCCAAGAAGATGCCTGGTGCAGAGAACAGTTGACATAGTTGTCACTCTCAGGGCCTCATAAGTTTCTTCTGACAAAAACTCTAGCTTGTGTGCTGTACTCTCTTTCCATAAGTCAAAATAGATGAGGCACTCATTTTCAAGCCAGAGGAGCCTGCATGATAAAAGTATGAGCAATGAGATCAGTTAGAAAGTGGCACTTGGCCTACGGACAAACTACAAAGGTTTCAAGCTTACATTTTAATAGCAAAGAATACCTAATACAAAACTGTGCATATAAAGAAAATGGAACCATTCATGTTTTCACACAAATGGAAGATAAATGACAATTAGAAGTAGTTCATGGATACCTTTCGTCATCTGGACCATAGAAGGGCATTCTCAGAGCGTCTCTACTCATCCAGAACAATGAGGTGCTCTTAATGTTGTGGAGAGTAAACCATTTATAAACAAGTTCCATGAACTCAATGGTTGGCAGGGAGTCGTCGAAACCATGGAAACCGAGCTGCTGTGCATGTTTTAGTAAAAACCTGAGCACAGATGTTACCTAGAATAAAATTATAATACAGGTGATTATGAGTGGGATAACCATCACCACATGCTTGGGGTGAAATCATATTTTTCTCTGAGTTTCTTCTAAAATAAACATTTATGCACTCTTTACCTGAGGAGAAAAGATCGCAACAGCCCTGGCAACAGACATCTTCTGAAAATTGCTCGGCCAAAGGTGCTTTTTAGTCAAGCACCTCACAAGCCTGAAAGCACCCGCCTGCTTTTCTTGTATGTCATGCAAGTTCCTGTGACAAAATGAAATGTTAAACTGTCAATTTGTAAGGCATGAAAAAGCTACCAAATTGTACCTCAGGTAGTCTGGAACGATGAGCACTCCAGCATTCCTGAAAATCCTTTTAGTGTCGAGGAACTGATTCCTGACATTTTTTATGATATGACAATAGTCAAACGACAGGAACAGTTGCCTGTCTGGATCGAGAGGGTGCCTGTAAAGGATCAGTGAATACTGTTAGGAGTCTGTGAAAATGTTGACAGGACACATTTGCTTCAACACTCTAATAGCTCATAAATTTATGCACAATTAAAGGAGGTGTAACCTTTAGCAAAAATGTGACTGAGCAATTACTCACGTGACAACAGGGCATATTTGGCCACCAGACAAGCTGGCAAAAAACTTGCAGTTAGTGCTGTGGTTGTCAGCAACCAACCTAACCACTTCAAACCCAGCATCTTCAACTGATTGCATTACTTTCAACGAAAGTTGCTCGAGTTGCTCCCCTGTCAATCCTTTTGTAAAATAATATCCTACAGGCAGCCTGTAATTGTAAAAGCACTAGGCATTAGGTAAAGGACACGGTAATAATTTGAAGGATTGGAAAAAAATTATCTGCACAGGTTCACATGACATGAACGGAGAGTAGCCAAATATTTCACATACCTGTAGTGGGTAGACAGTCCTACAAAGACGAAGCAGAGTAGGTGAGTTGCCAGTTGCTCCTCCAGGCCATAGTCTACCTCGGCACCTCCTAGGTCGACAAATCCATGGAGAGCATCGGACTGTTTATGGTACAGTGCAGATTGCTTTAGTGACATTTCATCCATCACCAGGGACCCACAGCGTGCCTGCAATAATCGCAAAGAACATAGCTCCAGTAATTTTACTCCTGGCAAAAAAGTAAAGGCAAAGAGTAAAGTACCTCCTTAGAGTGCAGTTTCACTTCTGCATGAAGGCGCTGCTTGATGAGAGAGGACACCACCTCTCCAGTGCATGCGCCAATGTATCGCTTGAGGGTACAGCGACTCGGCAAAGTCAAGACACCAATCTCCCGAAGAAGGCGGCACCCAGCTGGTGATTTAGCGTGCAAAAGAACGCATTTGCGCACTGTCTCCTCACGCCATAGCCCTTTCTTTTTGCCCAGAAAAGCAAGCTGCTCTTGAAGGAACAGAGCTTTTTCGTTGCTCTCCTCCACCTTTTGCTGCAAGTATGATATAAGCAGGTAATGAGATTTTTTTTAATGTTCAAAAAGAGATAAGTTCACACCTGGAGGATTTCGACGTTTGTTCTCTTCATCAACAAGGACGCCTTTTTTGCCTCCTGCCTCAGAGTGGAGAGCTCTTCCTGTAGGTGATGCTGCTTTTTCTGAAGCCTTTGACACTTCCGGGTAAGGTTTTGCACTTTCCTCAGGAGATTGGTCATTCGGGACAGTGAAAGCCTAGTCTGCATTCCACGTGGTCTGGTTGCCTTTGATGGACTTGTCTGGCAGTGGACAGTTTTGCCATGTTTGGGCATCTGATATGTTTTAGGCAAGCAGAAAGAAGATTCAGGTGCAGGCAAAAGTAAAGGCAGAGAGGAGGGTTCACTGCAGGGTTCTGTCAGAATTTCATCCTCCTGATGTGCGGTACTGCTGCCAGCCACACAATTGTCTTTCTGCTCATCAATCTTCTCAGACGGGGACCTATAAGGAGAGGGTATGTCTGGCCTGCAACATTAAGAATTTCGACGTGTTACAGGATGAAGCATGTATTAGAAGAAATTTGGGCGTGGCTAAACAAACACTAATTACACAAAAAAAGCTTACCTATTTTTCTTTGCTTCTGCATGAGGCTTGTCTGGTGACAGCCCTGGCACAGCACACCTTTTCACAGGCTGTCGCTCTTTTCGGGATGGTTCCTGCATATACCCTGGGTAGCTCGGGAATATTGAAGGTATGGCATCTGGTTTTAGTTTGCGCAGCTTCAGGCCTTCTCTGTAATCTTCTGGCTTGAAATGCAAGCTGCATACCTTGCTGCGGTCGCTCGGCTCCCATGGCTGTTTTCCTGGTCCTACAAATATTGTATTTAAGACCGCACCAGAATTATCAGATAGTAAGCAATCGATTAAGAATTAGCCTTTTAGTAACCTTCACAACGTGACAGAAAAGGATCTCTAGTGTATTCACTAGTTGAATCCCTTACCATTTCAATTTACTAGCAGCTGCATCAGTTCAGGGCAGATCCATTTGCGCCTATTTCCCTTAATTTTGTTATAGAACAACGCCAGCGCAAAACAATAGTGTAATAAATAAAACAAATTTCTCAACAAAGCAACACCGCTGTGCATCAGAGCGGAATAGTTGAAAGTAAGTGCTCTACCCCTGACACGGCCACGTGCACGGAGTCTTGCGGCAACAAAGGACAGTACAACAAAGGAAAAATGTAGCATGGGCTGCAGCCCCTTAGCCAGGAAATTTTTTCGTGGCGGGGGGCACTTGCTGAAAACCTTGACTATTTGAGAAAAACGCCTATTTTTATTGTTTATTTTTGGTAAAAACACATAGTTCAACAGAATTACGTGCCCCCCCCCCCCCCCCTTTCCCTGGCTGAGGGCCTGATGGGCTGTGTACACGATCGGCGTCCACGAATCCCACAAACAGCACTTGTGTTTCTAGACGCCAGCCAACAACGCTGAGCAGCATACATAGCGCGCAAAAAAGTTTTGAACTGCATTCCACTAGTCAGATCTTGCAGTGCATGCAATACAGCACTTTCAGTGCCTTACCTTCAGCCTGTCGAGAGATCTTCTTCAACCACTCCTGTCGAATCTGGGTGACGGGGAACTCGTGAAACGATATCCCAGTTGACCGCCGATCGCTCGACTTGCAAAAAGGAACGCAGCAGTACACCATTGCGGGAATGGTGCTGCTGCTGTCGTTATCTAACGCTCCTGACTGCGCAGACTACTGGTGACAAGCGTTAGCGGCGATAGCCTTCGAGTGCCACAAGATCATGTGAACGCACGCACGCACCAAGCAGAACAGCGGCTTGGCGGCTGCAGCAGTGGGGGTTAGTTGTGGCGCCAAGGCGTGCTGCGGCACTTTCGAGAACTAAAAAAAACTAAACAAGCAAAAGCAAAACCGGCGACACGGGGTGCGGCGGCATGAGCAGGTCGTAAGTTTATAGAGGAGGTCGTGGCCAGAACTCAGTTGACTGAGAAATGCCTACTCTCGACGACACAGCTCGCGAAGTGCGATTTACCTGAAAGTATCTAAAACAAATCATATTGAGCTAAAAATGAAATTTCCCGTCTTTTATTTGCACTGAAGTCTTAAAAAGATGCTTTGAACGTTATACGAAGAAAATAAAGTATTGATAATGAAACGCTTGTCAATTTTAGTGTCTATGTACGCTGTGGATCTGACTAGTGTTGGCTTAGGTTGCTACGGTCGGCTGCAACGTTGTAAAACAAAGCAAGAAACTAAAACTTAGGACAGCGTAATACGCTTATTTCTACATTTGATGATTATCTGATGTGTATGAAGCTTGTAAATGCTTCTTAATTTTTTTTATTGCTATTCACTCAATGCTCACTTGGAAGGTGCTGTGATCGACATCATCAAGTCAAATGTCATTCGCTTTGGACGTGTAGCAGCGCCGGCGAAACGAATGTCATTCGGGAACTGAAGGCCTTCGCCACCAAATGTCATTTTCTATGCCCGTGTGGCACGGGTATTCTGAAGGCTCTGGAAATTTTGACCATCCAGTGTTTTTTAATGTGCACTGACATCGCACACATGCCTCTAATGTTTTACCTCCATCGAAATGTGACTGATTGAGCACGCGACCTTCGGGCCAGCAGCCTAGCACCGTAACCATGGCGAATTATTTACGAAATATTAAGTGTATACTTACAATTAATTTTGAAGTGCATTTCGTGCGACTGAGCGAGATGCGGAACCCCTTGCAGTGCCGACATCAACGTGGTGGGAATGTAAACAAACCTACGTGACGAGTTTCTGTTGGCCGTTTGCTTAGCACGCACCTTGTCAGCATCACGCTATGGTAATCGCGCCGTAAAAGTAGGCATGCTGGTATTTCATTTTGCCGCGAGGCAGTGCGCAAGTCGCCACCGAGATCGGTCGAGAGCATAGAGCTTCCTAAAATATTAGGAAACTCTATGGTCGATAGCACTCGCCAGCTGCTAGTGTGACACTTTTAGTCGCTTGCTTGTGTTCTCGCAAGTCGCAACGTCTGCACTGTGCTTATTTGGACTTTTTCGAGATCAATACGTGCCAATGTGACCATGCCACGAGTAAACAACAAAGACACTGCTCTGCACCTGGATGCAATGCGGGATACGTTTTGGTCCGTAAACAAGGAAAGAAAGCATCTCTCTCCTCTGCTCTCGCCGACGATGAACGCGGCAAGGCCGGAGAGCGTGCGATTCTTTGCGCTGACAAACCACTGGAAAAGAACTAGGTTCTGTGCAAGGCTCCTGTAATGGACGGTTCATTCCGTTAATTAAAACGGCCTCTTAATTGCGCAGCAGCGCCGCGCTCGACTTCTGCTAGGCGCGGTTCATTCCGTTAATTAAAACGGCCTCTTAATTGCGCAGCAGCGCCGCGCTCGACTTCTGCTAGGCGCAGTTCATTCCGTAAATAAAACGAATTCTCTAATGCGCGGTTCATTCCGTTAATTAAAACGGCCTCTTAATTACACGGCAGCGCCGCGCTCGACTTCTGCTAGGCTCGGTTCATTACGTTAATTAAAAGGGCCAGCGTCGCTCATGCACTCGCAAAATGCACCGCGGATAGCACCAAACTCTTACGAAGAAGCCACAACTACAAAAGAAAAGTTTTCCGCCAAATTTAACGACAGTCTGGCAACAACCACCCTTCCAGTCTGGCAACCACTTATGCAACGCCAAAAGGAACCTTGCCTTCATGCTAACCACGGAGTGTTTCAACAAAAATTAACAAAAGAAATATATTCAGTGCGAAAAGAACAACTGGCGCTTGAACAGCGGGTGGCAGATGTAAATAATACATTAACGCATGTAGAAAATAACACCTTCCTAGGTAACACGGGCAAAAAATAACTTGAGCAACTTGCAGCTCAATGTGGAGTGCTCGCACGTGCATGTCAGGCTATGAAAGATTGTCAGGACGACCTCGAAAGTAGGGATTGTTGAAATAACCTGGTATTTTATGGTTTCCCAGATAATTAGAATGAAACATGGGGATAATCAGAGGAAAAAGTTATTTCTTTTTGTTCTAGTGACTTACAGCTCAAAATTGCTCCTGACGCAATTGAACGAAGTCACAGATTAGGCCGATATTCGGTGGCGAGAAAAAAGCCTGTCATAGTAAAGTTTCTATCTTTTAAAGAAAAAGAATGTGTGCTGAAGTCTTCTGGCAAGCTAAAGGGAACCAACTTTGGAATCAGTGAAGACACCCAAAGTCAGGCTAGAGAGGCAAAAATTTATACAATACGCTAAAGGAAAGGGTGGTAATTTTTAAGCTTCGTTTCAATAAGTTATTCA